AATGACAAAATTCCTTAATCTACATGTATGTATATTGCCAATATATCGATATTACAAAATCGTATTGCGATACGATATTTTTTGTCATTGTATTGCAATATATTGAAATATCGATATTATTGCCCAGCCCTAGTAACAATGCTAACACCGTTCATCGAAATCAAAAACTGATACAGAGAATTATGTATCTTAGTGTAGTCGACTTGTGCGCCAAGTTATATTGAAATCAGACCAAAACTGTAGGAGACGTAGCATTTTGAAAGAATTTTCCAGAAATTTCTATTTTTAGTAACCACAGCAACACCGTTCATTGAAATCAAAAACCGATACACAGAATTATGTATCTTAGTGTAGTCTACTTGTGTGCCAAGTTATATTGAAAACAGACCAAAACTGTAAGAGGACTAGCATTTTGAAAGAATTTTACAGAAATTTATATTTTTACTAACCACTTCAACACCGTTCATCGAAATCAAAAACTGATATACAGAATTATGTATCTTAGTGTAGTCTAATTGTGTGCCAAGTTATATTGAAATCAGACCAAAACTGTAAGAGGAGTAGCATTTTGAAAGAATTTTTACAGGAATTTCTATTTTTAGTAACAATGCTAACACCGTTAATCGAAATCAAAAACTGATACAGAGAATTATGTATCTTAGTGTAGTCTACTTGTGTGCCAAGTTATATTGAAATCAGACCAAACCTGTAGGAGACGTAGCATTTTGAAAGAATTTTACAGAAATTTTTAGTAACCACGGCAACACCGTTCATCGAAATCAAAAACCAATATACAGAATTATGTATCTTAGTGTAGTCTACTTGTGTGCCAAGTTATATTGAAAACAGACCAAAACTGTAAGAGGAGTAGCATTTTGAAAGAATTTTCCAGAAATTTCTATTTTTAGTAACCATGGCAACACCGTTCATCGAAATCAAAAACCGATACACAGAATTATGTATCTTAGTGTAGTCTACTTGTGTGCCAAGTTATATTGAAATCAGACCAAAACTGTAGTAGGAGTAGCATTTTGAAAAATTGTTTACAGACAGACGGACGGACGCCGGACGCATTACTATCGTATAAGCTCTTCTGGTCTCTGACCAGTAGAGCTGAAAATTCGATACATATTAGTTTCTTTTGTTTTGTTTGTGTGCTGTTTAACATCCTTTTTGAGAATTTTTCACTTATATTGGAGGCGCCACCACTTACTACTGAATAGCTTCAAATTTTGTCCTATTTTCGGCGCTCCTTTTCATGCCTCTACCATATACCACACTGGACCTCGGTTTATACGGTTCCATCCGAAAGACCGGTCTCCACGTCACACAGTGCATGGGATTGGAACATGCAACTTAAGAATCAACTCCTTACTCCGCGACTCTTCCGCAGACGCTCTTACCACTGCGCCACACGGTCAATGGCATGAATGGATTAAATGAAATATTCCGAAGAATCTTTAAAATCTCAGTATATACATGTATTTAATAAGATGAGGATATTTAATATGTATTAAGTTACATCGTAGTGGGTCATTAAAAGTTGAAATTGGTTAAGTGTTTCAAAGTGGAATTGGACATCTCAATATATGTCCGTAAGTGAACCGTTTGATTATTATTATGCCCACGAATCGAAAGATCCCGGGGGTATATTGTGTTTGTCCTCGGTACAGTTTGATCATGTGACCTCAACTGTGACATTTGACCTACATTTGAAACACTTTAACATTGGCCACGACTATTTATATCTTACAAGTGTATGTATAGTTTCCGTCTACGTCCCACTCCAGAATTGTGTTTCAAAAACATAGTTTTTCTTACCTATAGTCGTCTGCTCTAGAGTCACGGAAGTTTAAGGAATTGATCCTTACGTCGTGGGTTCAAATATCACTGTGGGACGTGGAGACCGGTCCTTCGGATGAGACCGTATAAATCGAGGTCCCGTGTCGCATTAGGTGCTGGAACGAAAAAGATCCCTCACTTCTCAACGGCCCTGAGTGCCGAGTATAGGACAAAATTTGCAGCTCTCCACCGGCAATTGGTGGCGTCTCCATATGAGTGAAAGATTCTCGAGAGGGCCGTTAAACAATGTACATCAGTCATACCTATAGTCTAAGAAAGACCCCTATTTATTTTGAGGTCAGAAGATCCAAGGTCCTTATATCATGCATTCTTTGCTTGCAAATCTTTCATCTTCGGGTGATTTCTTAAGTCTGTCCGTTTGTATTTCTGTCTTAACACTTAATTTTTTTTAAAACCATAACTGGGTAACGCTCATGATCATCCTACTCAAATTGGCCCCTCAACCCCTCCTCCCCCCCCGATACGTGCGTGTTCTTTTTCTCAAACGGGAGACAGAGATTCTTATATTAAGTATGTTTTAAGATGGGTAAAAATTTTAATTTCAAAACTTCAATAGTTTTTTGAGATATCGCTGAGAAATGAAAGTTTAACACACATACACTCAGGATGTATGAATTTACGACCTTGACCTAAGACTTCAGAATAAAAAGGGTTCTTTCTTAGGCCATAGGAAGGTGTGGCATAATGTACCATAGTTCGTCATTTTTTCCATTGTTTTATCTGTGCCTTATCTACACCATAACCCATGGGCGGAGCTTCATAATCTATAGGCGGAGCCTTGAATTGCATACAAAACAAAACTTTATTTTCAATCTTTAATAATGTGCCAAGTACTTACACATGTGTACATAATATATTGGCAAAAAAAAAAAAAAAAAAAAAAAGAATTAGGTCGATATTTTTCAACCAGAAATGACAAAATCTTAATTTACTATCCATTTAAAAACTTGCAAGAAAATTGTCGACATATTCCCGAAAGTACCTTAGCATTCCCACACATAACACGTACAGTAATTTTGGGGGATATGGCTGGCCATCTTTCTGCGAGCTTCCACAAATTTACCTCTAGCTACTAATTGTTAATGAGTGCAGGTTCGGTTAAATTCTCAAATTCAGGAATTTCACTTCCGGTACCTAATAAACACGCAAATCGCTATTCTTTAAAAGTTTTCACACTCCAACTTGTGTTTCTTCCTGTGTTTTTACTTTCGGTAGACTTTAGAAGGGTTTCCATGTCATCGTCATCATATAACGTCCCACATCGATCGTCAGAACGGGCTGTATAACATTCTCAAATGAACATTCGCTTGAGTAAGACATAAATCCCCAATACCATCAAACACGTTAACTTCGTCTTCTATCAACTGGCCTATCTGTGAGAGAGTTTGATCATCGATAGAATTGCCCCATTCAAAATTTTGCGGCATTTCAAGAAAATCGAGATCCATGCTCATTGCATCACATTCGTCCATTTTCGCTTTTTGACTTCAAATGCGCAAAATGCGAAATAAAATGTAATATACATGAACAATGTATAGCGCATACTACTACAACTATGGCAGGTGACAAACCATATTGTGAAATGATTTTGGAACTTGTACATCATCTCCCTGCCATATTAGGAAATTTGAGAGTGCTATGGAACTACTACAAAGTTCATTGCAAAAATTAAAGGCTTTTCGAGTTATCGCGCGGAATGAAAGTGTTAAATTAGATACCGGTGTACTATGACCTTAGCCGTTGACCTCAAAATCAATAGGGGTCTTCCTTAAGCCATAGGGAATTGCTGTGTAAAATTTCATTGCAAAAGCTCAAAGGCTTTGAGATTTTGTGTTGAAACGAAAGTGATACATGTACTGAAAAACAGGCGGACTGACAGACAGAGCCATCCCAAATATATACACCCCACTTTCAGTGAAAGCGGGGAACAATAAGTTTCATCAGACGAGTGTGCAGAACCATGCATACTTTTTGGAAATGCGCAATACCTAAACTATATCGTATAATAGCGTCAGAAAGACTATCAATTTTAATTGTTACTGAAGTCCTTTTACATCAACAAGTTTTTAAAAAAAAATCCCACCAATTGTGAAAAAAAATCTAACATTTCCTGTATTCACTCAATTTTGTTGACATTTTCATGCCTCAGCCCCTTTGCTTTGAAATTGTTTTGAACTTACTTCCTCCATTGAACAGAGGAGATGGCTCTCGGGAGATTAGTATCTTTGGCCAGTTTGGGGATTTTTCTTCTGTTAATAAAAGTTAGGCCTATCTTATCATTCTATATACATTTTTTCTCATTATGTATGAAAGAAGTTTGATATATATAACTTGAACCTTTAATTTGGATATATTTGAAGTTTAAAGGACTTTATATGCGTCGCAACATTTGCAGCTGAAATGAAAGAATCATATTCTTCTGTACATTGTTCAAGATTTTAAGACCGTAACATGAAATTCCTATGAAATACCCTCCCAAAGAATTCCTATATATCTGAGAGAGAGAAAAAAATCAGAGCGGAATTGCGTGATTTTTTTTCCAGAAAATACATATTCTTTGATAGAGAGTATTCATATATCATTTTAGTGTTTATAACTACACTGTACATGTACCAGTAGCTGCAATAATGTAGCCCTCTTTTTTTTTTTTTTTTTTTTTTTTTTTTGGGAGAGGGCTACAACTCCTTAGGATCTCTATAATGGCGCAAATGCGGGAATGATTCGCTCCCGCAACATTTCAGGGTATTCTTACTATTTACCGACTTTAAATCCATAAACAAAAATCGTATTTTATGTTTCTAACTCTACCTTTCACTGTACAATCTACAACTTGCCATATATGAGGCTCTAACCTACTGTTTTCAACAATTACAAAATACTCCAGTTTCTCGATTCATATTGTCCGCCATATTTGCTGTACTAAAGCTGAACTTCCGGCTGTCAATTTTAACAGCTTATTTGCATATGCCCATATATGGTAGTGTTGACATCTACGCACGAGTATGGAGTCTGCGGAGGAGAAAGCGCTTTTGTCAACACTGGAAAGGTTTAAGTTTGATATTAAGTTGAAGGAGGAGCAGAAAAATATTATATTTAATATTTTAAAGAAGAAAGATGTATTCGCTTTGCTGCCAACAGGATGTGGTAAATCCATGACTTACATTTTGGTACCGTTGATTGCTGACGAGGTAAGTCAAAGCGGGCGTCTCGCTGATTATTTTTCGGTGTTTTTATTTTTATTTTATTTCGGAGTGTTTACACGTAAATAACAGATTATAAATGTTTTAGCTAATGGGAGGTGCGCCAAGACACACAGCCTTAGTAATATCTCCTTTGAAAGCGCTGATGAGGGACCAGGTTGAATTCCTGGAGCAGCACAACGTGAGTGCAGTTGCGTTGATGGATGACACTAAAAACCAAGGTGATTATGATTGTACCATATGTGGTGTGTCCATATTAAAAAAAAAATTTAAGCCCCTTTCTCAAAATAAAAAAATATCTAAGATAGAAAAAAATATGTGTGAATCCAGATGGGGATAATGAGGATTTTTAAGGGGCCCCTAATCATTTAATGAAGTCATGTGTTTTAATCAAAATTAATTTACTAAATTAAGCAATAATCCTAGTATAAAATTAATGCACTTAATAAAGGTCCTAGCTAGAGTAAGTCTGTGGATTTAGGTATGAGCAGAAAAGTATCACAACTCTAATGGGACTGTGAACACTGACTTGTTTCAGATAAACAGAGTTTACACATGTTACATTTTTAATTTCTTATTATTTTGCCTAAACAGACGTCATGGACAAGCATTATAGTGTCATTTATGCATCACCAGAGGCAGCAATACACCAGAGATGGAGAAAGGTCCTGAGGGATAACCTAAAGCCAAAAGTCTGTGTGCTAGTGTTTGATGAGGCACATTGTATTTCATCATGGTAATTGAGTTTATCAACATTTATCCATATTAATTGTTATGCATTGCTTTTTATGTTTATAAGGACTAAAAATGAGATAAACACTATTAACATCATCGTAATTTCATCTTGATGCAGTATATGTCATTGAACTTGTTAAATGTCAATCAACTTCTTTTAGGGGACTGGACTTCAGACCAGCGTATAGACAGGTTTGCAGTTTACAAAGCATAATAAACACCAGCACCCTTGTTCTAACTGCAACAGCAACAAGAAAGATCCAGGAGGACATTTATGAGACTCTCGGATTTCAAACAGAATCAACAAAAGTAATTGCAGTCCTGCCAGACAGGTACCTTTAGAAGCTTATTTTATTTTCTTCATGTGGAATATGCTTTAAATATTGAAATAAAATATTTCTGTATTACAAACAAGAGGCCCATGGGCCTTATAGGTCACCTGAGTATCAAGAAAGAAGTCTTTTAACTGAGTAAAACCAAAATGTTGAAGGAAGAAATATACACCTTTACCTCAGGAAATTTGAATTATAGTAGGGTTATGTAAGCTAATAACTTGCTTCATTTTCATGTGCCTGGTAGTAATTCTGTACCATTATCATATGCCATCAATGCACGAATTTCAGATTTTTTTTTCGCAGAACATTATTGAAGTATCACATAATGATGAAATGTTCTTTATTATGCAACTTACAATGCATTTGCAGTACGAAGATGTGGGACCCTTGAGTAATACTGACCCTGTGCAAGTTAGAGAGTCCTTCTATCCATACTAAACAACTTTTGTCGCAACTGTAAACTTTAAGTGCCACATTAAAAATTTCATATTCTAGAGTGATAAATCCTGCATTTTGTGGTTCTTATATATATTATGTTAAATTTGTCCCTTCTTACAGTCTTTTAAACATACTGTAATAAAAAATCAAACATTCACAAGAAGTCATTAGATTTATTGGAGTTCTAAATTCACTCAGTATGATTATTTTCATGTATTAAGCAATGAAATTATTCAGAACATCAGATTTTGAAAAGAAAGCATCATGAGAAAACATCTTATATCATAGTATCTACAATTGTACAACAGCTTAAATGAAAATATGGCACAATTATACTCAACAAACAAAAAAATCAAAGTAAGGGAAATTTAAAAACAAGATAATGTAAAGCAGACTCCACGGCAAAAGAGAACATCAATGTAAATATAAATCACTGCTTGATTTACACACTGAAATGCATGTTTCTATAAACATGTAACTAGTACAATCAATGGTTCAATAATTGACTTTTAAATTGTGCACAATAATGACTGAAATAATGACGTTGTATTTATTGACTATAGCATTGCATTTATTTAGAAAGCTTGGTGAACAATTCATTTATTATTTTAATTACTTTTTTCAATTTTCAAACAATATGCAAATACCTAATTGGTCTACTTTCTGAAATTTTACCACCAAACATACTATGTATGAAGCAATCTTCACTTTATTTCTATATCATCTGAAAGAAGCAAGGTTTACCTCCCTTTACGGGCTGGCCATTGACCCCCTTCTTTCTATGCTACTTACCTTTAAAAAAGTGAATGCTTAATGTCTTTGGTGATTTCAGACAGTTAGAGCTTAAAAATAGATAAATAATGTAAAATTATAGTAACATGAACATGTTTTTTTCATATACCTGAATTTGTTCACCAAGCATAAATTTTATATACATACAATTTAAAATTTGCACAAATACATGTAGTAAAAATTGAACCATATAAATTATCCTTAACTTTTCACAACACAATCAAGAATGTAATAAACATAATTATTTAATGCATTAAGGCAAGAACAATAGAAATAAATTTAATCAGAGACGTATAAAACCATGGTTTGGTTTTATATGTCTCTGATTTAATACACTATTTTAATCAATCTGCTCCTAAGCATTTTGAAACAATGCAGCCCCCCCCTCCAAAAAAAAAAAATAAAATAATAATAATAAATATGCAAAGATCACCTACACCAGTGAATTTATACATATATTAATTAAATCCAACTTTTATATTCAGATTATCCTTGATTACAATTTTTAAAAATTAAAATATCTGCATAATGAAAATTGATAGTTATTGATATATTTCAAGGAAATTTAGCTGTATTCAGTGGTTGTAGAGAACAACTTCTTTAATCTTACATAACGAAAGCAAAAAGAAAGATTAAAAGTTGTTTACAAAGACCTAAATACATTTATCAACAGTTTTTCATAAAACTAAATCTTAAGATCATAAGACGCTATAAATCCAGATAAATGGGGTTTTATTATGTATACTACATGTAGTAGTTTCTTGAATTGTGTTTTCTGTATATTCCAATTAATTTTTTGTGGTACATTTGTAATTAAATGACAGTAAGGATTCTAAATTTATGAGGGAGATATCAATTTCTTTATGTTTTTGCATAAAATTTCAATATACATATATGCAGTTATTAAAAATATGGATTTTGGGATATTGATGCAAAAATAAGGATGGCTTGATAAGAAAACCTCCCAAAGAATATGTTTAAGCAACAAATATGTACAAAGTATTTACATGATTAGTCTTAATTAATATAATTATGTACAACAGATTATAACAGTTTCACATTCAACGTAGCAAATTAAGAAAGCCAGTCTTGTCAGAAACAGTGTAGATATATAACAATTTCACAAGTAACACGAGGCAGTCTTTTTAGAAATGTAGATAACAGTTTCACAAGTAACACAGGAGTCAGTCTTTTTAGAAATGGAATGTAATTGGTTTAACAGTTTCATATTCAACACGGTTGATCGTCTATTCAAATATGAAAAGTTGGTTTTTAAATTTCACATACAACACAGGAGATAGTCTTTTGATATAACAGTACTACATTAACACAACTAGCAGCTAGTCTTTTCACATCACAGGGGCAACTGTTCTGTTTATAATGTCTTTGCAGATGTACCCTTTTGACAATGGGTTGACAATGGGTTGTACAATAACTGTAGTAATTCTGTGTATAACACATAAATTCTTTCATTCAAATACATACTTAAATTCAATACATAGGTATCAATCAACGTAAGTAAATGTACTATTTAAGAAATCGAAGTTAATTCAAATGCCCATGAGATGAAATATGAATTCTATGATTATTATACATGTACATGCATTACCAAAACAGATATAGTGTAAAAAATACTTTACAAACACAAAAACATTAAGAGCCCTCTATGCATTGCACACTATAGAGTTCTGATTTTGTGGTATTTTTAAGCAGATAATCTGCCCTTTGATCAAGACTAAATAATTGAAATGTATATTTTATCAGTATCAGCTAAATCAAGCATTCACAATAACACTTAAATAGACCAAGAAAAATAGATTGAAATCTTCATTTGCTAGTATTTTGCACTGTATTAAAGTAAACTACAGTGATATTCGTTCATGAGTACTTCATTCTCTTTGAAATAAAGAAACTTGGATTCGCTTTAAATATATTTTCTAAGGCTGAATGCATAGGTAATTAACCCTAAGATGAAAAAGTAATAGATAAGCACAGTATTTACACCTTTACATATACTATAATTTTCTCAATTTTCCTCTAGTGTTGAGAGGACCCTTAAATAAATGTTAAAACAATATTTAAAAAAAAGAAGTAAAACATTATTGGAAAAGAATCAAATGCTATTTCATTGTTTTATTTCATCCAGACGTAATAGATTAAGTCAAATTTAAGAGGCATGCATGGCCACTAAAATCATGTTATAAAAAATATCTTATTTGATTGAATCAAATTTTGCAGATATACACCAGTACAATAATTCATTATAATACTTTCATATTTCCATTTAAGAAAAAAGAACATGCATAATTACATTCAATTTATAAATGACTTAGATGTTTAGTTTAGTAATTACAAAAGTATTAAAATTTACATATTGTGTCACAAAACACAAAAATCTATATACATAATAAACAAAATAATTCCATCTCAAGGGCATTCAATTTTTAAACATAATTTTGTCCCAATAACTTCCTAATAAGGAAATATATGTATTAAAATTTTAAAATTATATACTACATATATGTACATGTACATATGTATTTTTTTAAGATACAGGGGAGTTATTGGGACATATAGGGTAGATGATGAGTGGCAACCCTTGATTTTGCCTAACCACTCTTGGCAGTTTGTAAATATTTAGTTTCCAATGGAAACTAAATATTTACATACTGCCTGTGTTGTGCTCTAGAGGGTTTTTGATTCTGGAAAATACAACTGCACCTTAATTAACCTATATCATTAGCTAGCTTAAGGATTATTTGCAGCACAATAAATCATATTATGGTCAGACCAATAAGCCTGAAGCACATCTGTTTGTATATCAGTAAAGTTGGTAAATATTAGGTCTAATTGTGTCTTGTTTTTTGTTGTTACCTCGTTTATCACTTGCTCACAGCCAAAGTTTTCTTTCATAAAGTTAAGGAAATCTCCATACTGACCAGTACTCAAATCCAAATTACAATCTCCCATCATCACAATTTTTTCATCTTTGTTAACAAATGGAAGCAACCTGTTCTTCAAGGTATCGTAAAAATGTTGAAGAGTACAAGAGGGCTGCTTATATAAAACTACACACTGTATTGGAGTATTGGATGGCATAATGGAAATTATGGAAAATTCAACAGACTTGGAAGTGAATGAGTTGTATGTCAAACACTGTAAATGATTCCTCAAATATATGACAATGCCATGATGTGATCTGGTATGGGAAATGTTTGCATCATTTCTGAACATTGTAAAACCCTCCAAAGTAAAGTCTTCATCAGAATCTGATTCACAAAGCCAAGATTCAGCTATACCAATAACATCTGCAGCTACAACACTTGGGTCTGACTTTATATCAAAGAAGTGTTTGTGTAGAGACCTTGCATTGTTGAACAAAAATTTGACATCTTTACATACTGAGTAAAGTGGTATGTATGAGAGCTGCAATATATTATCTCTCAATCTTTCCATCTCTTTATCAACATTTTCATCTTTTGAAAGACTCTTTTCGTTGAAATCCAGAATGAATAGACCATCAAGTGACCTTACTCTTGAAAGTGCAACATAATGTATGTGAGGAATTTTTCGCTGCCTTGTCTGTGCTAAGCTGATTACTGCCTTTGACAGAGTTGCTCCTTGTGCTTTGTGAATTGTTTTTCCGGCAGAAGGTTGAAGTGGAAATTGAACTCTCTCATAGGTCTTCCTGTTATAAGCAAATGTTCTTTTAGCTTCAAATATGGGAGTCCATGTAGTGTTCACATTTGTGCTGAACAAGTGTTTGT